TTATACTTTTTTACCATTTCCCCCCTCTTATTACTGGAATTTTTATTATTTGTACCCTAAATTTCCCCTCAGTTACCCAAGTTTATCTTCTACCCCCTAATTTTCCTTAAAAACATTTTTTTCCTTTTTGAAAACAGTTATTGAGAAACTTAAAATCCTTATATAACCTAGAAATATTAATATTGGGCAGATTGCAACAAAAATAACACATATAGCTAAACAGCGCACTTCATAATCCACAGGTTCAGTAACTGAGAACAAAGGAAAATAAATACTTCACTCAATGCTACTCTGTCAAGGATTTACCAGCAAAAACTTTAAAAATGTCAGAAACAAAAACACACACAGTGATGACAGATTGTGGTATACTAGTTTGACTAGAGCTCTGACGGCATATTTACTAAAAATTCTGATAGTTTTCACCAGATTTCAGCACTATGCAGAGGCAGAAACTTGCAGTGCCATTTGCGAGCATCTAGGTTCTATCCTGGTCAGTCATAAATAAGTGAACAATGTGGTTGAGGGGGCCCACCTCCAGCACCCTCCTGCCACCCCCTTGCTTCTTACTAGCCCCCAGGGATGGTACTGCCCACTTGGGGAACCACTGTTCTACTCAATCAGGCTCTTCACTGCAAATCTTACGTAGTCAGATGAACTGCATGAGGTAAAGTGCTCATACTAAACAGGGACACACTGGTCAGTGCTGGAATGGGATCCCACTGAAAGGCTCAAGTAATCTCTTTTAAGCTTTCTGAAAGAAGAACATGATATGAATGTGACAAAGAGAGTGTTATGTATTGAGCCTGAACTATCCTTGCAAAAGGACTGAGCTTGGGATGCATAACAATAGATTGCTAGGATCCCAGAATGGGCCAGTAGGGAGACAGGGATCCTAGAGAAAACCAACTGGGAAACAATAGCGTGTAAATAGCCTATCGTTGGGAGTGGAGTGTATTTTGGGTGTAACCCTTTTCAGGCATAAGTACCTGGCTTTGGCCAGGGGCTTCTCAGTCTTCTTTCTCTTGCTGAATCACTAATAAACTATGAGCTGATCACTTCTATGTGTCTGAACCCATTATATTTCACTGGCGATGAGGATGGGATCCCGATGAGCGAGCCTGATCCAGCCTCCCGCACCGCACCACGATCTCCAGGACTCCACACCTCTCATCGCTCCACAGGTCATGGAATCATTCCTGCATTCGATTCAGCTCACCCTGAGCTTTAGGAAGCATGGGTGGAGCAGCTGAAGTACTTCATTCGGTTCCAAGGCATAGACGACGTCAACAAGAAAAAATCGCTCCTGCTCAGCACTTGCGGCATCACCACACTACGCCTAGGCCAGGGCCTCATCGCTCCTAAAACCCTTGAAGAAGCCACGTACGATGAACTCATCAAGGCCCTCACTGGCCATTTTGCACCTCAACCAACCAAGATGGCGAAGTGTATGGACTTCTAGCCGCACCACCAAAAGTCTGGTGAAGCGGCCACCGACTTCATGGCTGATCTCCTCAGGCTGGCCATAAACTGCGAGTTCCCAGATCTTGAGGACGCCCTCTTAACGCAGTTCATCTGGGGCATCCGTGAACAGAAACTCAGCTGCAAGCTCATCAGGACCGACGAACTCAAACTGGACAAGGCACTACACATGGCTACGGCTTTTGAAAAGGTACAACAGGATCGCCAGGCCCACTCTGCGCATCAGGCCTCCACATCCCAGGTCTCTGATGCCTCGGATGAGGAAGAAATACTCCAGGTACGCCACCCAGCTTGCCAGGACACCCCCCCACCATCCACGCCCACCCCGCAGCCTGCGAAGACCATCACTCAAGCGCCTTGTGCCAGCTGCGGTGACGAGCACAAACACCGTTCCTGCTATTTCCGCAACGCGATCTGCCGAACCTGCGGAAAACAAGGCCACATCATACAAGCCTGCTGCTCCCAAGGAAACCGGCATTGTCCAACCACTCACCAGGAATCCACAGACCTCCACAATATAGCCGTCCACCAACACCAGGTACTACACTTGCCCCAGGACAACCCTAACAAAATTAAAGTAACCGTGTTAATAGAAGGGACCTCTTGTGAAATGGAGTTGGACACAGGGTCCTCCATCTCTATCATATCAGAAGAGACTCTCAGGAGGCTCTGCCCACCGGGGGTCCCCGTCTAAAACCTGCTGGCTTCACCCTCAGAGACTTCCAAAAGAACCCGGTGGCCATTAAAGGGTGGGACAAGTTCCATGTGCAGTATAAGAACTTTGAAGGACTTTTGGATTTGTTGGTGGTGGAAGGGCGGCTTACTAGTTTACTGGGTCTGTCGTGGTTTGCTCCCCTGGGGCTCGGGGTGACAGGAGTGCATCACATGCGGCCTACAAACTTCAGCAACATGTGCGACGAGTTCCTGGCCATTTTTGATAGGATGCTTGGTCGCTACACTGGTCTGCCAGTCTCCCTGGACCTCGACCCTGCTGTATGCCCCATCTGTATGAAGACCAGGCACATCCCATTTGCATTACGGCCCAAGAGAGATGAAGAGTTGCACCAGCTGGTAGCACAGGAGGTTCCAGAGCCAGTGCCACATGCCCTCTGGGAGACCCCCATTGTCCATATCTGCGCAGACTATAAGTGCACCATAAACAAGGCCCTACAGGACCACATTTATCCCATTCCAGTAGTTAGCCATGTTTTGGCATCCTTGGCGGGTGTGAAGGTTTTCAGCAAATTGGACTTGGCCCAGGCGTACCAGCAGCTCCCCATAAACAATGCCACCACAGAGGAGTGCATTCTGGGTGCAGCAGCTGCAATTCGGGATCAGCATGGCCCTGGGGATCTTTCAAAATCGAATGGACTGTCTCCTTAAAGGTATCCCTGGGGTCCAGCCATTCTTCAATGATGTTTTGATAGCTGCCCCCATGGCCAAGACCTTCGTAGAGAGGCTGCGTGCTGTCCTGCAATGTTTCCACACTGCCAGCCTGAAGGTTAAGCAGGAAAAAATGTCTCCTGGGGGTTCCACGAGTCGAGCTCCTGGGGTTCTCGGTCGACGTGCAAGGCATCCATCTGATGCCCAATAAGGTCCGTGCCATCGTTGATGCTCCAACCCCCTCCTCTAAGCCGGAACTCCAGGCCTTCTTGGGGCTGCTGAACTTCTATCATTCCTTCTTGCCACACAAGGCTGCAATTGCCGAGCCCCTACACCGGCTTCTCGATAAAAAAGCTCCTTGACCAGAAGCATGCCGTCGTGTTCCGGGCCATCAAGGACCTGCTCACTTCCAACACGGTCCTCGCACACTTCAACAAGACACTCCCCATTGTCCTTGCCTGCAACACTTCCCCGTACAGGGTTGGGACCATCTTGGGACACCAGCTGCTCAACGGCTGTGAAGTACCGTGGCCTACTACACCTGCAACTTGTTTTCGGCAGAACACAACTACGTGCAGATTGACAAAGAGGCGCTGGCAATTGTGGCGGGTGTCAAGAAGTTTCACAACTACCTCTATGGCCAGCCTTTCACTATCATGACAGACCACAAACCCCTCCTGGGTCTGTTGGCTCCGGATCACCAGACACCGCAGATGCTGTCCCCCAGGGGGCTCCGATGGTCTATCTTTTTGGCCAGCTACCAATATGCGCTCCTCCAGAGGCCTGGAAATGCAATGAGTCATGCGGACGCCCTCAGCCACCTCCCAATGCCCTCCTGTGACCTGGACCTGGTACCTGCACACCAGATCCTGCTCCTTGAGGACCTGCCTGGCTGTCCCATCCAGGTACCCAACATGTCCCGCCACACCGCACGGGACCATGTGCTCTCCCGTGTTTTTGATTGGGTGGCAAGGGGTTGGCCCGCCAGCTGGGTGGGCCCGGAGTTTACCGCGTTCTCCTCAGGCCGGGATGAACTGTCAGCCCACAAGGGCTGTTTGTTGTGGGGAAGGCGGGTGGTCAGAGAATCAAGGCGCTCCCCGCGGGTTCTTCCCGGGTGACCCCATCTATGCAAGGAACTTCTGCAGTGGCCCAGCCTGGGTCCCCATCCAGGTTATCAGGGTGACCGGGCCTCTATCATATGAGGTATCCACAGAAGACAGCCAGAGGCTCTACTGACACATAGACCAGCTCCGTAGCCATCTCCCCCACACTGACCCTGGGATACACAAACCAGATGACAGTGACGTGGAGCTGCTAAGCCCAGAGGAGCCCGAGCCCAAGGAGAACACACCCACCAGCAGCGCCCAGCCAGAAATCAACAGACAACCTTCAGAGGTCGCCAGCGGAATGCCAGCACCAGCTGCCACCAGTGGCCCCGACAATGTCCCAGCACCACCACCCTCTCCCAGTCAGCGGCAGGTCCGGCCACCGACACGGTTCCTGAACCCGCAGCTCTGTCAGCAGAACCATGCCACTCAAACTGGGAGTGACGCTGACAAGCGTACCTAAAGAACTTTGTCAGTTGAAGAGGCTCAGAACTTTTGGGGGAGGGGTGTTATGTATTGAGCCTGAACTATCCTTGTGTGGGATGCATAACAGTAGATTGCTAGGATCCTAGAATGGGCCAGTAGGGAGACAGGGATCCTAGAGAAAACCAACTGGGAAACAAAAGCGTGTAAATAGCCTATCGTTGGGAGTGGGGTGTGTTTTGGGTGTAACCCTTTTCAGGCATAAATACCTGGCTTCGGCCAGGGATAGCCAGTCTTCTTTCTCTTGCTGAATCACTAATAAACTATGAGCTGATCACTTCTACACGTCTGAACCCAGTATATTTCAGAAAGTAAATAAGAAGAAAGAACCAACAAAGAAAGAACTAAAGAAAGCAAGTAAGAAGAAGAAATAACAAGTGTGAAATACTTTGTATGTTTAAAATTCTTTAAATTAAAAAAAAGATTTATACATACACACATTTTAATCACATATGGATTCTGTAGATTTTGGTTTTATTGCAGTTCTTGCAATGAGAAGCATTTACTGCTCTAACAATCTAATCCCTCCCACACTTAATGTCTTTTCAGAATTACATCTTCCAGTTGCTCTGCCTGGCTGCCCAGATCTGTTTTTGCCTCAAGATTCAATCATTGCACCTGGATATCTTGAAGCTGTGAAACCACATGATGACCATGGAAGGTCACACTTTGCCCAAGGGTCAGATCCACCAACTGAAAATATGCAGCAGTAAGACAAAGTTTGGTCATCTTGTGAACCAATTCTGCAGTGCAGAAGTAGACATTTCCTGTTTCTTTATCAGATGAATGAAGTGATCAAAGGGGTCATTTTGAGAAAAGAATCTGGGGGTCGGTGAAACTGAAGTGAACCCAGGTGTGGGAAAAACCCAGTCTTGGAAATCTGTACAGATTTGGAGGACAAAATTAAGCATCCCACCTTCCCATCTGCTGATCCTCTCCTGAAAGTCCACATTATATCTCCACATTATCTCTGCAAATGCAGAGATTCATTAAGATCTATTAAAATGTTGTCAATTTCTCCTCCATATTTCTTATAATCCCACTCTGCCAGGTACTCATAGGGAGACCTTGAGGAATTTCTCTCTCTCATTGTGGTCTCAGATTTGTTGCAAAAGAAAATGGAGGAAAACAGCCATGTTAGTGGTCCTAAGTTACTTGGAGGAAGATCAGGATACAATAAATGGTGATCAATAGATAGATAACTGGAGGACCAGTGTGGTGTAATGGTTAGAGTGCTGAACTGACATCTGGGACATCTGTGGGTGTGCCAAAGAAAACCCAGTATTTTTGGGGGTTGGATGCATTGAAAACCCCCCCCCAAATTGGAATTTCCTGATATTTTCAAATCCCAATATTGGTATGGTATTTGGATTTGGGAAATATTTGGGAAACACAATTTTTTCTGGCTACATTATAATGGAGAATCAATATGGGAGCATCTGGGGCTCTGGGATGCTACTTTTTGAGGTAAAGGCACCAAATTTCCAGCATACCTGCTGGTGCCTCTCCTCAAAAAAACCCCTCAAGTTTAAAAAAGATTGGACCAGGGGCCCCAAACCTATGGGCCTCCAAAGAAGGTGCTCCCATCCTTCATTGATTTCAATGGAGGAAAAAAGGCATTTAAAGGGATTGACAAAGAGTCCCTTTAAATGCCTTCTCCAAGCTGTATGATTCCACGGCTTGGAGCACTCTGAAGGTGCTTAAAGGCTTGTAGTCTCTTTAAACATGGCAAGTTCACCAGGAAGGCATTTAAAGGGACTGTGAGCCCTTTTAAGAGCCTTCAGAGTTTTTCAAGCTGCGGAGTTGCATGGCTTGGAGAAGGTATTTAAAGGGACCACAATCGTTTTAAATGCCCTTTGTTTATCTGTCTGGCAGTTCATTTTGGATAGATGAACAATATCCAAAATCACTATCCGGCTGAATCAATACCCAGAAAATACTGATAAGTTATTTCTGGGTATTTTTCCAGCTCAGGTTTAGTCAAACACACCCCTGATCCCCACTTGCCCATGAAGTTTACTGGGTGACCAGTGTCCCTCTTCTTTGCATAACCTACCTCACAGAATTGCTGTGAAGATAAATCAGGGAAGGGAGAACCTTGTTTACCGCTCTTGAGCTCCTTGTAGGAAAGACAGGATAGAAATGAACTACATGGATATATATAATACGCTTGTACAAAATCCAGGAAGAAGGAAATGGACCTCCACCAAACCCACAGTGTTCTGGATGACCAATGGGAACATCAGTTATTATTTAACAAAAGGAACAGCAGCTCCAAATCCAACATTCCAAAATAAATAGAATCTGCCACTATAATTAATATGCTTATATTATCATTTTATATAGAATTTACCAATCTTAATATAGGGCAAAACTGCCAACAGGTATTAAAATTTACCAAGAAAAAGTTAATCACAAATTTGAGATATCATATAAAAAGACCATATACAAATAGCAGACCTTGTATTCTGTCAAGTGGCATGATATCTCTGTATAAATCATCCTTCTTTTTGTGGCCATCTTTGGGGATTAGTTTATTGTCAAAGACAATAAAAGATTTTGGTTCAGAGGAAGCAACATTTTCCATAACGTTGTGTTATCATTTCTTAGACATCCAACACCTGCTTCAGCTGAACATGAGGAATCATTTAACATTCAAGACCTGTCTGTCATCATCAAAGCTTATGTACTGGTTACGTCTTTAACACCTTTGCGAGCATTCCTTCATTCAACAGGAGTTGTCTGGTATCCATCCAAAAAGAAACACTTTTCAATCAAGGTAACATTTATTTATTTTTCATAATAATAATAATAATTGTTGTTGTTGTTGTTGTTATTATTTTCAATTTATATCCCGCCTTGCCAGGCGAACTGGCTCAAGGTGGCGTACACAAGTTAAAATGAGATAAAACAATAAATACAATAAAATTCACATCAACAACAATTTACATAAAGTGCTAGTAGGTACAGATGGCGGTTTCAATACATGGTCCGATGAAGGTAGGCAGTATCCAACATCGTAACATGAGGGCTGTAGCGTATTCAGTTTCTGATGACTCATACTTCAGTGGCGGCTCCTAATCAAAGGCCTGATGTCCTCCGGAAGTTCCATCAGTGTGGAGCTGCCACTGAGAAAGCCCTGGCCCTAGTTACAGTCCTAAGACATCTCTTTCACTGATGCACTGGATGGTCTTGCCTCACTGTTGTGTAGGTGAGTAGCAGCAATATTGACAATACAATAAATATAATTAAAATTTTAAAACACAATTGTACGACGTTAAAATTGGTGCTCACAATCCAAACCAGAAATTGAGTGGTTGGGAGAGGTTCTCTGGCCCATTGATACAAATAAATATAGCCAGATAATTAATGTGTAGAAGACAGGAGACAGACACCTCAGGGAGGCCATACATGGATGCCCGCCACCTCAGCCAAAGGCCTGGTGGAACAGCTCCATTTTACAGGCCCTGCAGAATTGAAGAAGATCCTGCAGGACTCTGATCTCAATGGGAAGCGTGTTCCACCAGGCAGGGGCCAGAGCCGAAAAAGCCCTGGCCCTGGTTGAGGCAAGACGGACATCCTTCAGACCAGAGACCACCAGGAGATGTTGATCCATAGAATGTAACACTCTTTGGGGTGTATATGGGAAGAGGCGTTCCCTCAGATATGCTGGTCCCAGGCCATGTAAGGCTTTAAAGATTATTACCAACACCTTGAAATGAATCTGGAACTCAATCGGCAACCAATGCAGTTGGAGGAGCACCTGCCAAATGTGAGCCCACACAGGTGTCGCCGTCAGCAGGCATTCCACTGCATTTTGTACCAGTTGTAATTTCCAGGTCAGCCTCAAGGGTAAGCCTGAGTAGAGTGAATTACAGTAATGCAGCATGGAAGTGACCATTGCATGGGTCACTGTAGACAAATCCTGGGGAGAGAGATAGGGTCTCAGCAACCAAATCTGCCCAAGTTGGAAAAAGGCAGACCTGGTGACTGCAGTAATCTGGGCCTCCATGGAAAGAGAGGCATCCAGCGTTACTCCCAGGCTCCTCACTTTCTGGGCAGGCACCAAAGGTGTCCCTTCCAGAGTGGGGAGCCTGATACCCAAATGTTCTCTTTACTACTCCAGTTTCTTTCAAAGTGGTACAAATACAGGAAAATCTTTTGTTCTATTTTCTCTCTTATGTCTGCTTCTAAGTTAGGCCCTCACTGTTTGTGCTCCACCAAGCTGAACACAGCTTATTAGCGATGGATGGCAGTCAACCATCTGCTCAAGAAACCTCCAAGGTTTGCTTCCTGCCTAGTTGTACAAGAATACCACAGGAGGTGGAGGAAGGGTCCCAAGTGCCCTGAAGTCCACAATACAGGGCTAGTGGAACGCATTCAATTTATAAGTAGTGATGAGCAGAATTCCATATGGACTGAGATGTAATGAACGGCTTGCCTCAGTTTCCATTCTTTTCTCTTTTTGTAGTTTTTCATGTGAATACACAACATGAACAAGAGAAACACACACACCACTGGCTTTTTGAATGCTCACAAGGAAACATGGAAAAAGCAAGTCTAAACCAAAATCCAGTGAAATGGACTCGAGCCCTGGGAACCTGATTTCCCAGGGTTACCTGTATCACAGGACCTCTTTCCTGAACACTTCAGCTAGCCACTCCTCCCAACCATCTTGGCATCCCAGTGCTTTACTCCTCCACTGTGTTAAGAGTTTGATCCTGGACAGTCCTTACTTAGGCATACTTAATAGCTGCCGTCACTAGGAGACCATTATTAGTTTAGGGTTTTATCAGTATTAGACCAGTTTCACCTGTAAACTAACTGTTCCCTTTGGCTGGTCACAAGATTTATCTGATACAGTCTGATCCTAGATAGCCTGTGTAATTCTCTGTTAAAACATGTGTGTTTGTGAGAAATAAACAAAGCTTGACTTCTTACCCCCTGCTTGTTTTTACTATCCATTCTGCACTTCTTAAGGTAGCCTCATAATACTAAGTAGCTGGATCATGAGCAGGTGTCCCCCAAGAGGTCTCTCCCAAAACCAGACATCAGCTTTTAAAATTTTATTGACTAAGCATATGTACTAGAATACACAGATATTTGGGAACAATCTGCAGACAGGTAGAAGAAAGCGGAATACTAGTAAAGATACTGAAGCTGAAGCTCGAATACTTCGGCCACCAAATGAGAAGGGAGCACTCACTGGAAAAGACTCTGATGCTGGGAAAGATTGAAGGTCAAAGAAGACGGGGATGTCAAAGGATGAGATGGTTAGACAGTGTTATTGATGCAATGAACATGAAGTTGAGCAGGCTCTGGAGGATGGCGGAGGACAGGAGAGCCTGGAATGATGTGGTCCATGGGGCAGCGAAGAGTAGGAATCAACTGTGCAACTGTTGAACGTTTGTTGAGGATAGACTCAAGTTTTGCTGTAGACCTGACAAAGGATTGCACCCCTGATGCCTTATTTATGGATTTCCTTATAGTTTGGGAGCCCTCTTCTTGAGCCAATCAGAACTTGGGGTACCAATTCAAAATTCCCTCCAAGGAGACTTTTATACAATCAGTTCGAAAGTAGAGATTAACAGCTGTCCTCACTAGGATGTGTGCACAGCAAGGGGAAATGACCATAAATATTGTATCAGAGGCTGTGACTGGGGATGGACACGAACTAAAGTTCATGAAGAATTTTGGTCAATTTGTGGTTTGTAAAGTTCATGGTAGGTCAACTGGCACGAACTTTCCACGAACTTTCAAGCGGTTCATGGTGGTTTGTTAACAACTACATTTCCAGATAGACTATCTCTACTCAATCTAAATGTTTACCAAACTTCAAAGCAACAGGGGGGGGGTGTCTGTGGAAATTGGACGGCATGTAGAGGAGCATGTGGAGAGGGTCCCCTGTGACTTTGTTGTCTCTCGCTTACACAGGATCTGTTCTATACACTCCTGAACCTGCACCTGTCATTTCCCCAGAAAACACTTTTCTGGGGGCACCTTCTTTGGGGGGGGGCTGTAACTCATATCCTGTACATCCAATCCTCACCAAACTTGGCAGGCCGGTAGAGGAGAGTCAGTCAGAGATTTCTAGTGAGTTTGGTGACTCTAGCTTGCACAGGATCTATTCTATACACTCCTGGACCTGCACCTGTCATTTCCCAGAAAGCACTTTCCTGGGGGCACCTTCTTTGGGGGGAACTAACTCAGACCTTGTAAATCCAATCCTCACCAAAATTGGACAGCAGGTAGAAGTGCGTCAGATGGAGAACCCTTGTGAGTTTAGTGTCTCTAGCATGCCAGGGGGCCATTCTACTGCATCACAAACCTCACAAACTGAACCAGTTAGTTTAGCAGCTAAAAGTTCATGATGGTTTATGGTTTGCAAACCGGGCGTGCCATGATGAACTGGACAACATTTTCCCAGGTAGTGCCTATTCCCTAGCTGTGACATTATGACCAAATGGTAGTATTGGTGAGCTGATTCTACTCCCCTTACCCCAATCAATCAGGGTAAAGCTGCCGTTTCTTTTCTGGGACTGTAGCTTGCAGTTTTATTGCTCACTTTAAGCAGATATGCCTATTGTATCATAAAATTACATGAATCCATCCATAAAGACTTGTACCTGAGCCACTGCTGTTGCCAAGGTCAGTTACCTCAGGCAGCTATTTGGAGTTGGAGAGGGATGTCTCCTATACCGCTAGGTTGCTGTCTCCAGGTGGTGGCTGGAGATCTCCTGGAATTACAATAGGTCTCCAGGTTACAAAGAGCCCTTGAAGGAAATGGCTGCTTTGGAAGGTGGACTCTATGGCATTATACCCCACTGAGATCCCTCCCCAAATCTCCCCAGGCTCCACCCCCCAAATATCCAGGTATTTCTCAATGCAGAGCTGGCAACTCTATATCCCACTCACCTGACTCCGGTCTCCCATCTGCCTGCCAACTCCACCTCACTCTTTGTTGAATCTGCACAGGAACGAAAACAGCTCCTTGCCCCCTGTCCCTCTTTGAAAACAGTGCAGCAAACCACTTGGACCCTCAAGAGATTCCTTCCTTTCATCAGAATTCAACCATATTTGCTTTAAAAAAGCTATGGTAACCAAAATGATGGCTGAGTTCTTGTAAGAGACAGGGATCTTGCAAGAGTTCAGAAATGCCTCTTGGTCACAGGTTGAGTAAACCAAAGAAGGGATCACAGTTACAGGTTCATACTGACAAACAAAGAAACACTGTGATAAAATTGACAATATTTAATGACTAGGAAGAAGGTCTGTTGTACCAAGAGACAACGAGCGCTAGCTTGGGCAGCGGGCAGCAGCCTCCTGCGCCCCCTCGCTGCTCCAGTCCATTGCATGCTACTTCTATAACCTATTAGAGAACAACTGAGCCATCAACATGAGATAGAGAGCAAATACCAGCCAATTTGAAAAAAAAAAGGCTTCTAGCCAGATAAAAATAGTGACTGGTTGCTACTACTAGAAATTAATTAATTGGCTTGCTCCTAATTCAAGCACTTGCGATGGAACTGGAAGTAAGTTTAAAATCATTCAAGTTAAAAATTATTGATATTTTAAAAACTTATAACAAAACTATATTCCATTCAGCTTCATGTCTCTTTCTATTCTAAATAACCATGTTTGTTTCAGGATAATATGAAAAAGAAGTTAAGCTGCAATAATTTGAAGAAAGTAAAAAAGAGGTTAAACCGTATCAAAAAGAAGTTAAGTTGTATCAAGAGGCTGACACCTTCCAACCTTGGCCCCTGCCACACGGCAGGGGAAAAGCCTCTAAAGGCGCGGCTTTTAAAAGCCGCGCCAACGTTGAGACGCCGCGGCGGGATCCCACGGATCCCCTGGCCGCGGCGCCTTTTCTCCCCGGCACGATCAAACGCCGGGGAGAAAACACGGCCCTGACCGGGAGCCGGCCGAACTGCGCATGTCGGAGCATGCGCAGTTCGGCTACGGGCCGGGATTGTGCCGGTGCAAGGACGCGCCGGCGATCAAACGCCTGGCTTGCTGCGCAGCTTCCCAATGAACCAGCAAGGTAGGTGGTTGCAAGTTGCGGCGGATTTTCGCGGGGAAGGGCCAGTTCGGGGACGGAAGCAGGACGCTTCCCAGATGTTCGCGCCGGTTTGCTCTGCCCCCGAACTGTCCCGCTCCCGGCCCAAATCGCCTAGTGTGAACGGGACCCTTATAGGTTTACTCCTGAGGAAGATTCGTGAAATGAGTGGTCAACCGGGCGCTCATTGAGGATATGATGATGTTGGACTTTCCCTTGAAAATGTCAGAGTTTCCTAAGCAATATTGTAAAAGTCTTAATAGATACACAAATTGACTTTCTTGGTCACAGGTGGCTTGAGAAGGCTATGTTGGAGACTGTAAGAAGGATTAGCTGCTCCACTCCTGGGAGGTGGCAGTGATTGGCTCAGGAAGCCAAATGTCTTGAACTGGCACTGCAGTGTTGTTCTAGGCATCCTGGTAGAAAAACAGAGGAAAGAGAAAAGGGACTTTGATGCTTCTCCCCTTCCTCTGCTGTCAGCCAAGTTTTAAAGAAGGGGAAGGAAAAAGCGATGATGCAGGAGAAGGGACAGAGGCTTCTCACAAATGAGCATATTGGGACAAGCAATTTTGAATTGGGGGGAGTGCGTGTTCTCTGGTTGCTTCCTGCCTTCCCTCTGATGGCCCATTAACGGTCACTAAATGGGGTGACATGTGCACCTTGGCCCATAAGGACTTAACATGAGGGTATCCCACGGCCAGCTTACCACAATGCTTTTCAAGGCTAAATTAAACTACTATGGGGACTTTGCTTTATATCAGAGTATAAACTTCTAAAATGCTTTTATTGAGAGATTTATTATCCCAAAGACCTGAATAATAACTTAGATTTTATTTTCATCAAGTGATGCATGAAAATACAAAGGAAAGGGATGGTGATAAATTTAGCACTTTTTTTTTTAAAGTAGACATGAAGCGAATGATGAATAGCTGCACTCTTCTCTTTTTGAATGTTCTCTGGAGCCACTGGGTATATTTTTCTTCCATTACAACCTCTTTTCCTTACGCAGTGACTGAGGAGGGGATGGTGCTAAGTGTTGCAGGAAGGAAAATAATATTGAGGTATATACATCTTGGGTTTCCTCAAATAAGTCAAAGATTTGAGAGCTCCTTGGCATTTCTCAGGTGGAATTTGTGAAATAAAAAGAGAGAGTTAGTTTCAGGCTATATAAGAAGAAAGGCATAAAGCTAACAAGCTATCAAAGGAAAAGAAAGGAGCTAATGCTCTTGATAGTTCTGGAGGAGAAGAAATATTTGCGATGCAGGTCTGCCATGTAGGTCTGGGATGGGGGAGGGGTCTAAAAGAACATCTGCCTCCATAGGAACTTGCCTGTCAACTGAGGTCCTCATCAGAGGACCTACTTCATCTTCCTCCATTGCTGAAAGGAGTCAGGTCTAGAGGTGACAAGGCTGTCTTTGGAACACCCCCCTCCCCCCAAAAAATGTTTGTCTGCCTGGAGCATCCAGAGCTGCTGAACTTCCAGTGCCAAATCAAAACCTGTTTATTTTCCCAGATTTTTGGTTTTCTGAGACCCTGTCCCTCACTCCTTTCCCGGTAATGTGTTCTTGATGAGTCTTTTATTGTTTGTTTTAATACTGCCATTCTGGATTATCAATGTAAGAGGCTCAGCTAATTTGTAATGTCATTTTCCTCTTCTTTCTGCTAATCCTCTAAATTTTTTACGCCTTTGCCTTATTCTCTGCTGCTAGTCTTAGGCCGCAATCCTAAGAATGTTTTCATGACAGTAAGCCCCCTTAATTCGAATGGGACCTACTTCTGAGTAAACCTTGTAGAATTGTTCCCTTTTTAGGAAGCAATTTTTTGGCTTCTAAGATATTGCTAGTTTTGTGAGATTCTAATTATACACATTGTGATCATTAAAATTCGTGGTGTTTTAACCTTTATTGTAAGATGTGTCACCAACTTGAGCTGTTTAAAAGAGTGGGACAGAAATACCTCATATAAATCATTTATATTGTATAAAAGAAAATGCCTGTGAAAACTGCAACTTTCTTATGAACAACTGTGAAAGATACAAGAGCCTGCTGCTCTCTGACTTTCTGTCATGGTACAACCAGTGAACATCCTCATCCTCAATTGCATTCTTTTTCTGTGTGTGCATATGTTGACCTTTAAGTGGGAACCATCTGATGGGTTAAATCTGGGTCATCATCACAGGCTTTAACTAGGGCTGCCATCCCCCTGCTCGGGGTGGGGGATCTTCCACCACTCTGAACAGCAGGGGGGGGGGAACCTGTGATGCTAGCTGTGGTGTCATCATGTCAATTCTGGTAAAACAACAGAAGCAGAGGTCGATTCGGGGGGATCGTGGGGGATCACAGTACCCCCGGGTGAGGTGCAGGGGGCGGGGCACATGATGAAGCCCCGCCCTCTGCTTCCGGCCGCCCCGCTTTCGGCCCTCATTCAGCCAGGAGGAGCCAGGAGAAGAGGGAGGGTAAGTTGCTTCCTTCCCGCTTCTCCCCACCCCGCCTGCCTGGGGCCAGGGAGGGCCTTGGCGGGGCTTCCTCGCACTCCCGCCGGCCTTGCAGGTCCACCGCTGGGCCCCTGATGTCAGGGTGTGTGGCATATGCTAATGAGTTATGCTAATGAGTTCCCCTAGCTCTTTTTCTACAAAACGACCCCTGAACAGAAGTGACATAGAGTAGTTCTAAGAATCACTGAAACTCTGTGTTTTTACTATAGCATTTCTGGTGATTCTTAGAGCTACCTATGTCACTTCTGTTTTGTTTGTTTTTCACCAGAAGTGATGTGATGCCCTGCCCACAGTCTACTCACCAATTGCCAGGCACTGCCTGAGAACCCTACCTTTAATTGATAATTCAGAGTGCATATGTTCCTAGCAGGGTTTAGTGGAATTAATGTGAATGAAATAATTCCTATTGCTGAAGATACCAAGAAGCAGCAGCAGCAAAGTTTTAAAAAAGCTGAAGTCACGTATAGGAAAAAGTTAGTATTGGCTTTGCTAATTAGGGATTTATTTATTTATTTTGCTTGTCTTCTAAAAGAAAAGTATTTATCAGAGAGCTAAGACTTTTTGTCTTTCAGTAGTCATTTTGTATTTATCCAAAAGATGTTAGATTTATATAAATTGCCATAAAGCATTGCAAGAAAGTTTATATAGATACACATATAAACTTCCAATGTTGTATATGTGTGTGCATGCAGTCTATTCCTAAACTCAGTATGATTTCACATTTTGGAGAATGCACGTAGAGGTGTGGAAAGTATAGTAGAATATCCTTCTTTTCTGAAAGGATCGATATTCTGCGGTGCAGGTCTTATCATAAGTAAATAGTATTTTATCTAGTGGGGCTTACACCCAGGAAAGTGTTCTTAGAACTGCAGCCTTTGCTTGTTACCCTGCTGTCAAGACGTTCTTCTTCAACCTTGACCAAGTGCAGATTGGTACAGCTAGTTACTTTACTGTCCAGCAGAGGGAGTTAGTGTGTTGGATTTTTTATTTCAGCTAGGCTGTTTCCTTGTGTTGTAAGATGTATCCTGAATTGATTTGGTTAAGCATGTGGGGTAGAAATACCTAAAATAAATAATATACTAAATTTAAGAATGAGAAAATCTGTGAAAATTCAGTCTTCTGCACAAGTGGAAAAGGGACAAGAGCCTGTCCTCCTTTGGTAAAGTTCTGTCGTGGTACAACCAAGGAGCATCTTCAGCTGCACTTCTGTATTTTCAATGTGATTTCCCTGATACAGGTGCACTAGCTTAAACTGAGCTTTGATAGCAAGATGACCAGTCAATGTAATTAAGAGGGCACTCTTTTGGAGGCAGTGGGATAGTGGGGAATTTTGATGGAAAAGTAATTTGTTTGCTTCATTAAGAATGATTTAAAAACCAAGAAGTGTGAGGTGTAGTGTAGTTAGCTGTAGCTAGCTATAGACATAGGCATAGCATCAGTTGTGCACACGGCAGGGAAACCACGAGGCAAAGCGCGGCTAAATAGAGCCGCTCCAACGTTGAGACGCTGCGGCGGGATCCCACGGATCCCCTGGCCGCGGCGCCTCTTCTCCCCGGCGAGAGCAGACGCCGGGGAGGACGAGCCCAATGGGAGGGGGAGGCTGCCGAACTGCGCATGCCCGAGCATGCGCAGTATGGCCGGTGGCCGGGATGCGGCGGGGGAAGGAAGGGCCGCCGGTTGGGCCGGATCAGGGACGGAGATGGCACGCTCCCCAGATGTTGAGGTGGGATCGCGGCCGTTTGCTCCGCCCCCGTTCCGTCCCGCTCCCGGCCCAAATGGGCTCGTATGAACAGGGCCTATGTTTACAGTGTGCACCACCAGTCACAGCCACCCCACCCACCATATTGTGACTAAGGTTGCCAGGTCCCTCCTGGCAACCAGCAGGGAATTGAGGGGGGGACTTACCAGGAGAGAGAGGAAGGCCCAAGTGATGTGGAGATGTCACTTCTGGTGTGCACAGGAAGAGAGTCATCAAGCAGTGGCATCTCAGTGGATCTTGAGAAACCACATCAGCTCTGGTTATGAGAATACTTTCAACTGCTGTTGTTTAAATAGGGAGATGGCATACATTCTGAGTCTCTCCTGATGTTATAGAAATTCAGTATAGTTAAGAGTTTCTCAGACTTACATATGATTCTAATTTTTTTGGTAGCTGCAGACCTTTTTTGAGACCTTCTTGAAAGCCAGTTCCCCACAACAAGCCTTTGATGATATGAAAGAGGCAATAATCAAACTCTTACTGGTAGCTGAAGTTTTCAGTGAGGAATCTGGACCAAAGGCCTTCACTCAGTAAGTTGACCAAAATACTTTTTTAGAGCTATTCCGGCTAAGTTTCCAAGGTCCAGTATACTACAGAACTAGGGTTGGCTACTCTGGGTTGGAAAGCACCTGGCAATTTGGGGTCGGAGCCTGGAGAGGGCAGAGTTTGGGAAGGGGAGGTAGCTCAGAAGGGATGTAATACCATTGTCCACTCTCTGGAGCTGCCATTTTCTCTAGGATGGGGGTGGGTGGGAGAACTGATCACCGTAGTCTGGAGATCAGATGTAATTCGTGGAGAACTCCACACACACACCCAATCTCTAGACAATCAGACATGATGCATTCTTAAATCTACACATGTGATCATTGTCACTGTTAAAACTTGAATCAGTCAGTCATTTGGATTTGTCATCTTATTTCAGATGCAGCGTATGCTTTCAGATGCTAACCTTTGACATTGGGTTCAGTCGCTCTAGGCACCCTGTAATTCTAGAGGTAAGCAAACAATTTACCTCCTGGAGTAAGAAAGCATAAGTGTCTTCTTTTTTTTAATGGAAGCAACAAGCTATGAGTATCATCTAGTTTGATGATAAGAGACATATAAACCATTTAGAGGACAGTGTTCCCATTTACAGATTTAGGAGAACCATGATGTACAGCAGTAAGTTACTAGTCCAATGTCAGAAAAAAATACAGCTCTGGTTTTAAATTTTGATCATAAGGGTGCCCCAAGAAATTGCTTGTGTTGTTTTATAATAGAAGCAGTCTCTCTCTCTCTCTCTCTCTCTCTCTCTCTCTCTCTCTCTCTCTCTCTCTCTCACACACACACACACACACACACACACACACACACAAGGTTCTCCAACTGATGCTTGTAGTTTTCGTAGGCCACCATAGGCAAGCTATTATCACAAACTGCAGTTCTTACACAAATTTTACAGTGAAGTGTATCAATATAACCAGCAAGACCTGTGGCCTGGATCCAAAGATCCACAAATTGTGTCGGGTCAGAGAAATTTGCAAAGTATTGTGGAATGAAGGTGGGAGGAGGAAATTGGAACATTTGCCCTGCATGCTTGGAAAACCTTTCCACTGGTACAAATCGGCTCCTATATTCACAGTCCATCTGTAAAAGCTATGAGCGCCTACCAGTGAATTGGATCCAGGCTGCGTTTTCACTCATGTACCTTAATTGCCCTTCCTACCACAGCACCTATCCCACAAGATTTTTGCCCATGCAGGTCCAATGACCCCCAGCAAAGCCTTTTTGGGTGGTCCTCCCTTTTTTACCAGCAGAAAAGTTGGTTGGATCCAAACTAGTATGCATATTTACCCTTTCCAGATATACTTTCTCAGTTATATTTATAACTTTTCCAGGTACGTGAACATTTTGACTTTCAAGTTGATGATGACGCAGATCATCGGGACCAAATTGTTAAAGAAACCATTCTTGAAGATACTTTCAGAATTCTCTTATCAAATAAATCCTCCTACTCTACTTTCTTTGAGGCTTTATGGAATGTATACCGATCAGCAGGGATCAAGGTATGTGTGGATGGATACCAGGTGGAGTCCAGTAAGCACTGTTTTTCTTACGCTTCATCCTGAACCTTCCTGAATCAAACTGTATGACTTTATTTATCCCTGTGTAACCGAACCCTATAGGAAGCTTAAACTGGTGATCTCTCATCCTTCATTAAGTGTAACAACCAGATCTGTTCTAGCCCCTTACACAGGGACTCACACCTGAAAGATTTGCAACAGTTCTCTTTCCCACACAACAACTCCTCTCCCTTTTGATTATAAACATCTGTTTGGCATTTCCATTTTCTTAGCGCCTGAAGCAGTCTGACTGACAAAATCATATGCTGGAATAAACTTGGTTAGTCTTCAAGATGCCACTTGATTTTTGTTTCAAAAATAAAAAGAATCCTCACATTCACCATGAGGAGATTTCACTCCTGAGAATCAGAAACATAAACGGAGGTCAGCAAATAGTAAAGGGTTTGGTGATTTGAGGGTGTTTTATTGAGGAGTTCTCCTGTCCTTTTTACAGGATGAGCATCACCTGAAGGAATCTGATCAGTGTCTCACTTTGGAAGAACTAAATTCATTGAGCAGTTTTGTACAAGAGCTTCAGAATCTAGGACAGTTTGAACTGGTAAGTTATAGAAGTTGTTTTGTTTTGTAATGAGCCCTTTTTGTTATTTAAATGTTTCCCCACATACTTTTAATTACTATGATTCATTCTGGTAAGGATAGAGAAGATCAAGCAATCAAACAATTTTAACTGATAAGAATTGTAGCCACAGCGAAGTCACCACGAGAAACCATGGCTTATTTTAATTGTGGTTGTTTTGTGACACTCAGATTCAGTTCACAGACGATCACTATCTTGGTTTGCCTTGACAACTTTTAGCTCAATTGCTGTACCCTGCGATTAACCAGCGATAAGTAAGGATGTTTGTGTTCATAATTCAGACAAACCATTGTTAAAACTATGGTTAATAAACCAACATCCTGGCTTCAGATCTTAGTTTGATGGATCCTAACTGAACAAAGTTAGTGGTGTGCCCCACATTCAGACAATGAACAATGGCCCCGGTCACACAGGCCGGATATCGTGGGGGGGGGGGTGGCTAATTGCCCTGGCGCAGTTTGATGTGCGATTACGCGATCGGACACGCCAGCGGCACACCACGGGTCCTTCCCTCGGCGCCAGCGGGTAAATGAGGGACCGGAGGGGAATGCCACACGCCAGCACGATCACACCACGGGCGTCTGGAGGCAGCCCATGGCAAACGTTTACTTGGAGGTACTAGTTTTTTAAGGAGCATTGTCGGCGGTAAGCCACGGGTGCGCTCCACTTCCCAGATGTTGGGGTGTGATCGCTCCCGGATAATCCGCCCACCATCCGTGCCTCTCCCGCGGCAACTTTGCCATGTGACTGGGGCCCATAATCAGTTTAATTAAGCTGTGGTTTCATGTGATGTCTGAACTAAGCCATAAAGCAATGGTCTTCTACCTTTCCACATCTGGAACCCACCTTTAACCCCCAGGCAGCACCATAGGAGCCATATAGTTGAAAGGACATGATAGGAAATCATATGACAGGAAGGGGAGGAGCCAGATTTATGACCAGTCCAGGTCAGGACAGTGGAAGCCAGAGGCAAGGAACATAAAGTTGAATACCAGGTGGTATACTGTAATGAGCCAAGACCTGCATAGGCCAGGCTAGCTAAATCTCATCAGATCTCAGAAGCTAAACAGGGTCAGCCCTGGTTAGTACTTGGATAAGAGACCACCAACAAAAGTCCAAGGTTGCTAAGCAGAGGCAGGAAATGGCAAACCACCTGTTAATGTCTCTTGCCTTGAAAATCCTATGGGGTCACCATAAGTTGGCTGCAATTTAATGGCACTTTCCACCACTGCATACTGTAATGAGGAGCTAAAAAGGAATACTCTTGACCACTGAGTGAGTGCACCTCACCTGAATGTCCTGCTCCTCTCTTCTCTGTGTGTGAAGAGAGGATTGTTGCATGCTAGCAGCAGGTCCTTCCAGAAAACCAGCAAAAAAGGCTACTCTATGCGACTCACAACCCAGAAGTGGGGCTCCATGAGTCTTGATTTGTGGCTTAAAGACCTCTCCCTTAAAGACACCAGTGCTTATATGTTTATCCTCTCTGACTAATTTGGTCCACATTAACTGTCTTTCTTTTCAGCTTTTCCCATCTGCTGTTCCCAAGATCCATTTTTTGCTGCATTACCTTTATCGCATGGTGAATCCAAGGAAGAAGCTTGGCTCAGTTCTGACCATACATTGGCTTTTTTCCAATTTACTTGAACAATTACAGAGCATTAAGAGAAGAAAACATGCACACTTTGCAGGATGGTAAGAGGATGATTTGATGATTTTTATATCTAGAGCCTCAGCAGCTATGGGCTTGATTCTACGAACAGAGCTATATGACTATTTTTTTGCCCCATTATCTTCTTATCATAACCGAAGACTACAATCAAGTTCCCCTTATAAATCCAGTTCTGGCTCATAATAATCCACAAGATATGTAGTGCCCAATATTGTATTTGGCTCAATCTGCAATAAATTGGATAACATGTTCTTGAATATCAGATCATGCTTAAGTGGAATTTCTCTAAAATTTCACAAAATCAGTAATGTTTGCTGTCTGGAAGTAAAGGAGAAAATTAAACAAGAAGAAGGAGAAAGAACTAACCTAGGCATGTTTTTCAAAAAATACAGCACTAACATCCCAAATCTAGTCACCTAGGTTGGCACAGATCCCTGCAGTTCTCTGCATTGGTCAGCATCCACCCAACTCTGTATGTCTTATTTGCAGTTCAGAAAGTCTTTAGATTGGACTACTCAGCTGTAGTTACATGAACAAAGAAGTCTACTTGTAATATTTAAAATGTTTTTGAAGGTTTCAAAGGATTTTAAAATGTATTTACTTCATTTATATCCCTTCTTTCTATAGTAGCTTACATATTCTCCTCTCCTCCATTTGATCCTCACCTTGTGAGGATGAGACTATGGGACTGGCCCGAGCTTACTCATGGTAGAATAGGAATCCATGGCAGTAGGTTCCATGGCAGAGTAAGAATTTGAACCTGGATCTCCCACATCCAAGTCTAACACTAACTAGTACACTACATCAGCTCTCACGAGATCAGCATGACACATCAGGATGGTTCAGACATGAATCAGCCCTGTGCTCATGCACTCCTTCAGCTAGTCCCTACCCCCTTTCTTTGTGCATTCAGAGTTAATTACAGTTCAAACCTAATCAGAGTAATACCATTCTAAGTCCTCTGAACTCCGTTAAAAGTGTTAGCGACTGTAGATTTTGGATGAGCCATAGTTTTTCATTAGATCCTAACTGGGGGGGGGGGGGTTGTTTGCTTTACTTAATTTATATGCCATGTTTCTGCTTCAAAGCTATTCAAGTACTCAAGCCTGCTAATCTCCCTTATATATAAAAGCCGAATGGTAGTGGCACTTCTCTAGAACATTCCACACACTCCGGAATTGGTTGGTGCCCTGGTGTGTCACTCAGAATCTGTCCCTATCCACTGGCTGCATTGCTTGAGTCTTGCCTCCAACATTCTAAACAGTTTGCTGTTCCCCCCCCCATAGCCAGTCAGAACACAGAGGTTATCTGCATATGCAGCCTCATTGGCCTTTGCCTCAGAACACAGAGGTCGTTTGCATATGCGACTTGATTGGCTTTTGCCTCTAACATTTTAAACAGTTTGCTGTTCCCCCCCCCATAGCCAGTCAGAACACAGAGGTTATCTGCATATGCAGCCTCATTGGCCTTTGCCTCAGAACACAGAGGTCGTTTGCATATGCGACTTGATTGGCTTTTGCCTCTAACATTTTAAACAGTTTGCTGTTCCCCCCCCCATAGCCAGTCAGAACACAGAGGTTATCTGCATATGCAGCCTCATTGGCCTTTGCCTCAGAACACAGAGGTCGTTTGCATATGCGACTTGATTGGCTTTTGCCTCTAACATTTTAAACAGTTTGCTGTTCTGAGGTAAAATGTGTCCAATCTCCAGCTGAGGGCTGGAGATCACTCAAAATTACAACTGTTCTTTAGGTAGCAGAGATCAGTTCCTCTGGAGAAAATGGTGGACTCAGTGTCATTATACCCTGCTGAGGTCGCCACAGCACGTTGACACTGAGTGTCCAAGGCCGGGGCACCCGCCCAGAGCCTCTTTCTAGAGATCGTTGTATTTATTTCCACAACGGGCCTTTATCCTAGTAATCTATAAATACATAAAATCGCAGACTTCATTCAAAGGTGTTTGTTCTCCTCAAAGCCAAGGTTGACTCCTTCCAGCTAAACCAACACTGCAAACCACTGGTTTTCAGTTCTGATTTGGAAGAGAAGCACAAGAATTGGCTGGTCTGGATAACGAGGTTATGTATTATTAATTGACTTCCGCTCAGGAGGGAGCACATTCACATAGTGTGCATAGAGTTCTTTTATGACTGAAACAACCTATCAACAAAACATTTAAATCAATTTCTGAACAGAGTTGTTGCTAGGTTATCATGGCATAAACCAAGTATTTCGTTTCTGGAGACAAACATAATTCACATGGTAAAATGTTACCTAAAGCTTATTGTGTGTATGCAGGGTGGAGGGATGCAATTTTCTTATCATATCCTTTGGTGCCTGTTACCTGCTAGCTTTGTGCCCCAGCATCCCAGGTCTTTTATGGCAATTATAGTATACCAAGCATCATCCTTAAGGTTGATAAAGAGCTACATATTTGGGTAAAGTATTCTCCTAGGAACACTTTGTTACAGTTTAGTTGACATAAATCTGTTTTGTTCCTGTGCTGTCAGGGGAAAAAAGATTTGGTAAAAGCAATGATTGTTAAAGTATCACACTGTTAATTGCAATAAACGCATAACACAATCTTATCCAGTTACTGCAGCCTAATCCCATTGTTTTCAGTAGATTTATATTGAAGTAACACTGCATAGGATTGCACTGTAAATTGTTAAATTGTACAGATGTGCTCCATTAATGACAAGGCTCTTTTCAGGAAGAATGTTCCTTACACCAGATAAAACGGTTAGCAAACGGATCTACAGGATTTAACATTCATAAGAACATGTACTTACCAATTCTAAATTGACTAAATTGTTGTCTGTCCTGTTCTGTTTTGGTGTAGATTTAGTTTAGTCAGATTCATGAACCTTGTTTATTTGTTCCAGCTTCCAATATTTATTCTCTTGATTTATTCCACTGTATTTATTTTGACTTAATATTTCATGTGTGTGTGTATATAATCATGCATATGTGCTGTGATCATATAAGGTAATCTTATCCTTGATAGCTTCTGTGGATAGTCTGCATATCAGTCAATAAGGTTATCAGAGAAGGCAGAGCTATAACTCAGAGAGTCTGTAAACTGGAAATTAGACCAATATTGCATGTAGACAACTCCATCACAAATGGTAATATGTTCCTATCTTAGCATTACGCTTCCAGTACTATCAAATGTTTTCATATCTCCAGTAAGAATTCTTCTTCTTTACAATTTTCCCACAGGCAAAGCAAGGATTCCAAACATGCATCTAGGATGAAAACCAGATGGTCAAGCCTTAGGTGAGAATATAGGGTAGACAGAGCAAATACTTGTAGTACCATGAATCTGTGGAAAAGAGGATTTACCCTTCCCCCCGCACCACTTTCCCAACCTGTAGAGTCACAGGGGATGCTATTTGTGAAACCCACATGTTTTCTGAGACTAAGGCTGGTCCCAGGTTTTGAAGGGCCCTGGGAAGAGAGTGCTCAGCGCCCCGTCCCATGGTCACCACCAGCCCCCTTCTTTATACCTCCTTTCTTGCCCCTCCAGCCCTGCTTATGCATCCTTCTCCTGTTTGCTCACAAACCTTCCCACTGCCCATGCTCGCAGCCTGCATGCCCTTTCCTTGATGGCACTGGATGGTGTGTGTGACTGACAGTGCTGCTGCTGTGACTGCACCACACACACACTCTTCCCTGGGGGTGCTAGGCAGCCAGAAGCACAGGAAGCAGAGCATTTGCCTGCAGCTGGAGGAAAGGCACATAAAGCAGGTGGCAAAGGAGGCATTTAGGCTGGTGGCAACGAGCCTTGCCAGAAGCCCTGGGCCCTCGCAGATGTCTTAGCTCAAGGAATGTTTATGTTGACCCTGCCTGAGATGCATGGGTTTCTGCAGAGGGCCCAATAGTACCTCCCTGGGACTGTTTCATGTTTGGAAAATTACACCCAGGAGAAGGCTAAAGCCCTTCTCCGCAAGCACTGTGGTCTTGATCTAAATCAGGCACTGCGCACATGGGAACTCACAACTCACATGGCAGAACATTCAATGACAACAGGAGAAACAGGAATAGTGGGCATGAATTGCTAAGTGTTGCTGCTATGCATTGTTCTGTTTTGTTTTTTGGCCATCAAGTCATGCTGACTTGTGACAACCTGTAGTGGAGGCTTGAAGCCAAGGGACGTTCAGAGGTGGCTTGCCATCTCCTGCCTCTGTGTCACGGCCCTGGAAATCCTTGGCAGTCTCCCTTCCAAATACTAGCCAGGGCTGGCCCTGCTTAGCTTCAGAGCTGATGAGGCCGGGCTTGCCTGGGTTACCCAGGTCAAGGATGCTGCTATGCATTGTTGTCAGTTGCCCTTCTACAAAATTCTCTTGAGGACCCTTGATGAAGTGCACGGCAATTGCACAGCAACAGCTCTTAGGGAATTGGATGTATTGGCTTCTGATATTCATAAATTAATACATGAATTACTGCAATTAATAAGAGCATGAATTAATGTGCAAACGGAAGAATTGCTCAAAGTCTATCTCCAAGCCACGCCATACAAGTCTATATGGGAGAACGTGATGTGAATATCATTTTGTGTCTAGCATTGCTTTCCCACCAGTTAATTGTTTTATGGATATATAAAAAATCAACAAGCCATCATACTTAGCAATGTCTATATCAACACACCTCCCATCCTATTATGAAAACCCAGTGTTTAGTTAAATTCATGTCAGTCTCAGCCATTTGCAAATTCACTTACATATGTTTTTTTGAGATAAAAGAAAGAGTACATAAATTAATGTTAAAATGGGCAGTGAAGCTGGCAATCTATATATCTAATTCTGAAGTTGCCCCCTGGTGTGTGGATACTTAAATCCGCACATCGGGGGCACCTGGGGGGGGAGGGGGAGTTTTGTGCACATGTGGGGCGGTCCCCAGGTGTGCACAAAAATGCTAAATCTGTAAAAAAATATCGGTGGGATACTTAAATCCCCCCGAAACTCACAGAGCGTCCCCTGCACATGCACAGGGAACGCTCTGCAAACTCCGGGTTGAGGGAGGGGGAAACAGCGAGGGACGAGCGGCTTCCCGCTCACCCCTCGCTTCAGTGCCAGATTGGGGGGGAGGGAAATAGCGAGGGCCGAGCGGCTTGCCGCTCGCCCCTCGCTTCAGTGCCGGGTTGGGGGGGACCAGCCTCGCCCCTCGCTTCAGTGCCTGGTTGGGAGGGGGGAAACAGCGAGGGCCGAGTGGCTTCCCGCTCGCCCCTCGCTTCAGTGCCGGGTTGGGGGGGAAGAGCAGCGAGGAGCCGGGGGGAGAGGCAATGGGGGGGAGATCAAGGGGGTGGAGGACATGGGGGGGAACCAGCAGGATGGAGGGGTACTTACCTCCTCCTGCTGCTTCCTCCTCTGCCTCCCTCCCCCCCCGCGAGTATTGCGGGTCCACCCCTTGTTAGAATATATTTTGTATTTGTGCTTTTACATTCTGTCTCTCCTGACTTTATTGCTTTGAATTAGATCCTACAGAAATTTTCCACTTAGGAACGGATTTCCATCAGCAGAATGGGATATCCTCCCTTCCACTGAAGCCACAAACATCCCCTGAGATTATGCTTCTGGAGGACAGGGGGCCCCCAGGAACCATATTGGGAGGGAGTCAAAGGTCTGACATGGGAAGGATAGACTAGCAAAAATTGCCTCCCATCTTCAATCATTGGAAATTTTCCATTGAATCTAAGCTGTCTACTTGTATTTTGACTTTTTTCCCTCTGAAATACGTTGAGAAATTGCAATGATCTATATATCTATTTTTCAAGTGTGGCTCCCTTCTGCAGATATCTAAATCTGTGGGTTGGGGCCACAGTTCTCCCGAACAGATTTTTCTGCAAACTTGGGTGACCTGGGAGCTGTCTTGGGTCCAGCGGCGCAGCCTGGGAGCCATGCTGAGCCCAGCAGCTGAGTGGCACAGCTTAGGAGTCATGCTGGGTCTAGTGAGAAAGTGAGGGGGGGACCCAATTCCCCCTGCAAGTGTCACGGGCACACACGTATAATATAATTAAGCAGTTATCTATTCCCATCTATACAATCTATGTTGCCCATATACAATAACGTACAAAAACACCAACATACACATTTTGTTGATCCAAGGAAAGTTTCTGGCTTTTTATTTTCTCAGAATGAGCTTCTTACAGTGCAGGCTTAAGAAGAGTTACATCCTTACAAGTCTGTTGTCTTATAAAAATATCCTCTGCTTAGGAGTGCATTGTTAGCCACTAAGAAATTCTGATTTAACCATAATTACTTTCCCCATGTTAATCCCTAGTATGTAGCAAAAAAAAAAAAGCGCCATAGTTATCTTGCATAAATCAAACAATAGCATAAATTGCATTTAAATCATACAGGACTATCTCACTCAATACCCTAGGCCTGATATTGTCAAAACAGAATGACCTTATAATTAATATTCGCGTGGCCTTGGCCATAGAACAGCACTAATGAACTAGCCACATTTCTGCAATACACATGATGGAGTCCAAGTTGGAGGCTGGATTGCATCTGATATATTGGGTCAAAATGGATAAATTATTAACTGCTGTTTTGAGATTATATAAGTGGTGCACAATCATTTATTCAGGCACACCAAACAAAGGGCTCAATATATGTTTATTACTAAGGCTTCCTTTGGGACATTATGTGATTCAGCTATCAGATTGCTCCAAAAAACAAATTTTCAAATGGTAAGGTAAAGGTAAAGGTTTCCCTTGCTAGAAAGTCAGTCAAATCCAACTCTAGGGATGCGGTACTCATCTCCATTTCCAAGCTGAAGAGCCGGCGCTGTCCAAAGACATTTCCATGGTCATGTGGCCAGCATGACTAGACGCTGAGGTGCACGGAACGCTATTACCTTCCCACCAAAGTGGTACCTATTTATCTACTTGCAATTTCTCGCTTTAGAACTGTTAGGTTGGCAGGAGTTGGGACCAGAGATGGGAGCTCACTTCATCATGCAGCACTTGGGTCTTGAACTGCTGAACTACCGACCTTCCGGTCTGCAGTTCAGTGTCTTAACCACTTGAGGCACCATAGCCCCAAATGGTACAGGCTAATTTTTTTTGGGGGGGAGTGCTTTTCTTGAAGTGGCAACTGAAGTTTAATATATGTACTATCAAGTTTGCCTTGAACAGCAGAAAATATTTCATAATGTATGCTGTAAACTGCCACACACTGTTGGTGGTATATAGACAGAATTAAAGCTATTTTAATGACATATTGCTTTAGGGTTATCATTGGAAGTACAGTAGCTTTTGACAATGTTTGTGCCTGAGCCTTCTTTTTGTCAATTCAGTAATATCCCCCCCCCCTTTCATTTTAGGAATTCTTATTCAGGAAAGGATAACATTAAAGGAGATTCTTCCACACTCACAGCAAAAAGTGAAGGTAACATGCGGGGGGGGGAACCTTATTATTTTATAGATTGCTTAGTATCCAAATATTAACAAAAGTTTCTGATTATCCAAATACTTTGAGTTCCCACATGACTGTAAATCTGCATAGTATGAAACATCAGTTTAACTGAGTTATCTAAAGGAACTGTGCCTCTGAAAAACCTTGTTTGCTACCTTCACATAACCACTGGTTGATGGAGTAGAAGTTGACTTAATACTGGATACCGCATTATTTTAAGCTTAGAGTTGGCTTGGGGTCAGCCCAAAGGAATCTGGAGCATAATTCATCCAAAGAGCCAGTTTGGTGTAGTGGTTAAGTGTGCGGACTCTAGTCTGGGAGAACCGGGTTTGATTCCCCACTCCTCCACTTGCACCTGCTGATGTGACCTTGGGTCAGTCACAAGCTCTGGCACAGCTGTCCTTGAAAAAGAGCAGTTTGTGTCAGAGTTCTCTCAGCCCCACCCACCTCACAGGGTGTCTGTTGTGGGGAGGGGAAGGGAAAGGAGTTTGTAAGCTGCTCTGAGACTCCAAGTGAAGTGTGGGGTATAAATCCAATCTCTTCTCTTCTTCTTCTTCAAAATGGAAAGTATATTTGTGAGTGAGAAGTCTAGGGTAGTTTATGTACTCAATTCTTGGCTGGTTGCATTAAGACTGGCTGAAAACATCTTGGTCTTTGTGATAACTACTACAGGGCTTTCCTTGATAACAACTCGACCAAAATATATAGGAAAAGACTGATTATTTGCACTGGACAGAAATCGGCTTTTCAGCCCTGTGTGGTGTTCAGGAAACAAGTGACATGTCTCTTAAGAACAGAAATATCTAATGCCTTTTTTACTGCTTGGGACAGAAGCTTGTTTCTTACATTAATTTGCAGTGTATATAGCACATACGATCCTAAATTGTATTCATTTATCCATTAGGTTTTCGTGTTTCAAATCAGGCTAAGGATACACAATGTAGTCATGGTAAGTCCAACCTGTACTTCCAGAATCTAATGTTCTAGGCAATAGGTGGCGCTAATTCTACAGATTTACACTGGCATTTCTATAGCCTTCTTCGGAAGATAAATTTGCTTTTACTAGCTACTTTATTGTTGGTAGATAACTGCTGTGTAGGTAACAGTATTATTTTTGAAGGGGCAATAGTATATAGGGATGAAAGATGTCAGCTCATAAATGAATCCCAGCATCTCTTGACATGGGAATCACTAACTGAATGCCTCACATGCGTCCACACCTCAGTCTTCTCCTTACAGATTGATTAACTGTCAGTACTGCTATCACAGGCTGTGGAAGGTTGGTAGTTCAGCAGTTCAAGACCCGAGTGTGCCACATGACGGAGTGAGCTCCCGTCTCTAGTTCCAGCTCCTGCCAATCTAGCAGTTCGAAAGTAAGAAATTGCAAGTAGATAAATAGGTACCACTTCAGTGGGAAGGTAACAGCGTTCCGTGCACCTTGGTGCTTAGTCATGCTGGCCACATGACCACGGAAATGTCTTCGGACAGCGCTGGCTCTTCGGCTTTGAAACGGAGATGAGCACCGCAACCCTAGAGTCGGATTCGACTGGCTTTCAAGCAAGGGAACCTTTAACTTTACTGCCATCACTATCCACATTGTCATCTACAGCACCACAGGGGGCATTTAGCTTGGCCTGTTCCTGGGCCATTTAAACCCCCCAGTCTATCCCTAGTGAGGGGGGCTTGTTTTTGTTTTTTTGTCCTGTGATCCTTATGCAAATCCAATTAACATGTGGCATTGGAAGGGAGAATCACTAAGCAGCCCAGCACCTGTAATATGACTGATAAAACCCTGAAAAATTTATCACAGTCTGTATGCAAAGGCTACTAGTGTTTTTGGCAAAAGGGACAAGTAGAATATAGTAAAGAATAATGAGTCTAGGCAGCACTTGATAATGTCTGAGGATTTGTTCATTATTTCTTTTTCTTTTCTTTTCTTTTCTTTTTTTACAGGTAAAGATACCCTACCTCACATCAGGCAAATCTTCACCAATCCCCATTTAGAGCTAAATCCAAACTTTGATCCAATGATCAAAGAATACTACACTGAAGTGCCATTTGATGTAGTAACAATAAAGATTCGAGCAGAACCAGTGAATTGTCAGGGTGAAGTCCATTTGGATGAGAAGAAAGGACCCAGGTATTTGGGGTGGCCTTGGTACAAAATTGACCAAAGATTGTTTCACCTGAGAATGTCTGTGCACAGCACATGAACCTGACCGATTGCATCTGGCTCCTAATTATTGTTACCAGTTTGTGACATCATGGAGAAAAGCAGTTTGCTGCATGTGAGCGATGTGCTGTGTGATTAACTGTAGTGCCCTTTTATCCAACTCCGTCTGTTGGCCCTCATTATTAAGGAGAATTGTTCATACGACCAAAGGTAGAAATCAGTTGCCCTGACATGGGTGGCCCTGACATGGCTAGCCTGACCTTGTCAAATCTCAGCAGCTATGCAGGGTTGGCCCTGGTTGGTACTTTGATGGGAGAACATCAAAGGAAGCCTAGCGATGCCACACAGATGGTGCGTTCAGACGCGCCGTTTCAGCCGGCATAAACTGTACCGGTTGGAACCGGTGCAGTTTATGCCGGCTGAAACGCGATCACACTCACCTCCTGTCTGCGGATCCCATCGCTGTATGCCCGTCCACAAACAGCGGGCATTGGCTTTTTGGTTGTTTTTTTTTAAACTCAGTTTGACCATGCGCATAGGCAGCCATCCATAGAATGACGATCTTCGCGCATGCGCAAAAAACCCTGTCTTACATTTAAACTTTAAAGGTAAGGACTTACCTTTAAAGTTTAAAGAGCAAAGTAGCCTCCCTGAGGTCCCGGACGCCTCCAAAACGCTAAACTAAGGCCCTTTTCTTTTTTTAAAAAACAAACGCCAGGGCGAAGCTTCGCCCAAGTGCATATCGCCGACCTTTTAAAAAAAATGGCCGGCGAAAATCGGAAGCCTCAGGCTTCCGAACGGAAGTGGCTCTGCAATGGTGGAGAGTGATCAGATGGGGGGGGGGTAAAGCGATTACAACCGTTGCACTCAGGATACCACCACTTGGGGACCTAGTGGCAGAATACAACGGTTTAAAGCTCTTTACAACGGTTAGGGACGGAAGGCAGATGTTAGCCGTGTGAACACTGGTAAGTACACTGATTCCAACCGGCACCTATACCGTTGTAAATGCCCCGTCTGAACGCACCCAGAGAGAGGCAGGCAATGGCACACCACCTCTGTTTTACCTTGAAAAGAGCCAGTATAAGAGACTGCTGAGAGTCAATATAAGTCAGCTGCATCTTGATGATGCTTTCCACCACTGTCACCACAAATCAGTTACCACCAGTGTGCTCTGCTCCAAAGTTTTCTGAACCAAAATAAACTTCTCTGCCAAACCCCAAGCATGTAAACAGAGAGGCCCTTGTAGAAGCACAATCCATAGACCCTTGAGCCATCTGTTACATAAAATAGATAATTTTGCCTAGTAGTTCCGTCAGGTAATACTATTAGTAAAACTCTAAATTCAACCATTCTTCGTGATATGAAGAAAATAAGTGTTCTACAACCCACACATCCATAACAGGGTGAAATCATGGGTGCTGTTCTTGGCACCCTGACCAATATTTAATCTTTGTATAATGCCCTTGTTAAAAAAAATATAATTGATTTTTGCCTAAAAGCTGGCTGTCACATCTAAAATGGCTGCCATGAGTGTTAAAATACCAACCTACATATTTAGAGTGGTTTGCTCTTAGGCAGGGGTCATTTCGTAGAAAAAGAGCTAGGGGGACTCATTAGCATAACTCATTAGCATATGCCACACCCCCTGACATCACCGGAAGTGTGTCCTCCCCACAGCCGGCGGCGACCTCCAGTGGGCACCAGCAGGGAGCTCCAGGCCCCGCCCTCCCGCACCTCACCCGGGGGGATGGCGTCCCCCCGCGTCCCCCCCCCAAATGACCCCTGCTCTTAGGAGGCATTACAAGCTTGTTGTGTTCGTTTGAGAGATACTTTCTAATTCTTTTATTCAGCCATTCAAGCCTCTCTTTAGAGCAAAGGGGGCTGCACAAATTGTAGGCTCAGGTTCTGTTTGAAATCTTTTCATGCTTGGGTAGTGAGCAATTTCCAGGGCCAGCTAATACTTGTAATCTTATTTGACTTAAGCACCTTGCAGCAATATTCACAGCAATTTTTTCAGCTGTCTGGCCTATTATGAGGCTGAATCCAGTATGTCATATGAGCAGTATCATCTGAATCCTACAAGCTACCATGAGCAGCTATTCTGTTTGGATTCAGATTTAGTGTCATTTGTCTAATTAGTTCTAACCCCTGCTGATCCCCCCTGCTCGTAAACAGCCTGCATTATGTTAGAGTTAAATTGGCTTCTATTATCTCATAGTTTAAATATTTAAACGAGAGAGAGATGTCAATAGCTTCAGTTCAATGCTTAAAGTATGAAATCATATTAAAGTCTGTTTATGATAATACATGGGTAGAACTATGAGGTATATGGATTTTGTAATGATCCCCAATTACTATAGAGTCTCAAAGATTTCATGCACTCATGAGATCTCATGAGATCTCAGTATCTCCATGAGGTATACACACACACACACACACACACACACACACACACACACACACAACAATTAACTCCTTAGCTGAAGAATCAACATAAGGTTTGTAGAGAGTATTCACCATGATGGGATCATTTAAACCCTTGCATCTTGGATGTGCAGTTTTTCATTTTCTTGGTTCACTGCAATTGGGGTCACACTCAAATTAGTAGTAAAATACTCAAATTAAAAGCATCCATGCACACAATGAAGGGGTTTTGCTCTATGGAACCATGGTTTTCTTCATTGTAAAATAATACATGGAATATGGTTGTGGTTCCAAAACTTGGAACTCCCTCCGCAGGGAGTCATCTGTCTCCCACAATTGTTTTCTTTTGTCAGTGGGTGAAGACTTTTTATTCTGTTTGGCATACCTCACAAAACTGCTATTGGCCCTCTCAAAGTTTTTAGTGTTATGTCTGTTTGTATGTTTTCTATTGAATTAGCATATATATAATTTGTTGAAATATTTTTAATGTTCAACTGTTTTAATGCTTGATATTTGCTGCCTTGGGGACCATATTTGCGTGGGAAGGTGTTTTAAATTTTTTTAAAATAAATACATGCATAAAAATATGAATTGGTACAGGTTAGAAAGAAAATATTTACAAACTTTTTATACTCCTTGGGAAGTATCTGTGCCGAATATGTACAAGAGCAGAGTGTGCCTACCATATTTTATAAATAAAAAATAAATAAAAATAAAATTTTAGGTTTAACTAAGAATATTTTGCTGAAAATCTGAGCTGTGATAACCGTAAAAGGCTACAGGGTGTCAAAATTGCTGTACTTAAGACTGACTTTATGCTTTTGTTTTGTTTTATTCCTGTCTCTTTTCTCTAGGAGTGCTGCAAATTACCCCCTTGGACTAGGAATAAACAGAGTCAATATTCTAGTAACAGGTGGATCTCATTCACTGCATGAGGTTGTGAGCATCTATAAAATCATTATTTATCGAGAAGACCGTCCAAGTTTGCCGCTGTTTGCTGACTTCATGATGTGTGGTTTTGTCCAGGTACTTTTTGGTTTTTTAAACAATACTTTCTCTCTATGCCACTTTGGACCCCTTGCATTCTCTGCAATGAAAGGGTCAATTGAAATGTTTAACCCTCCCTCCCTCATTTTGTTTTTTCTACAGAAGGCTACATTTTTTTTCATCAATCTCTTCTGCTATGTTTTACCTTCTTCCAGTCCCTATTTCCCTTATTTTGATGTCCTGCTTTAGGACATGAATACAGAATTCTCAGCATCCATATCCATATAGATAACCATATAGATAACCTTTCCCCACATGTTCCCCAGAGAGGTGAGGGTCTCAAAATCATTTGTCCCTCCCTGGCCCTAAGGACACTAGGCTGGCGTTGACCAGGGCCAGGGCCTTCTCAGTGGTGGCTCCAACCTGGTGAAATGAGCTTCTGGAAGAGATCATGGCCCTGCGTGACCTTTTACAGTTCTGCAGGGCCTGTAAAATGGAGCGCTTCCACCAGGCCTTCAGGTAAGGAGCCGCACCTAACTATCTAAGACCCTGTGCCCAATATCATCATCACCCAGCCTGAGCGTGCAGATAGGGAAATTAACTGCTGACTGTATGTTTATTACGTATGCTGCTATTATTGTACCGCCATCACCATACAAATTGTTTTTAGTAACCATGTTGTGTTTTATGCAGATATTTATATTGCTGTTTTATCTGTTGCAATTTTTATGTAAGCCACCCTGAGCCTGCCTTGGCGGGAAGGGCGGGGCACAAATCAAATCAATAAATAAACTGCATGTGGATGAATTAACCCTAACTACAAAATCTCTCTTCACATGAAAACAGAGAAAAGTCTAACTTTCTAGAGTGTATAAATTGTATAAGAGGCTTTTGAGTTAAGATACACTTTACTGTCAGAACAAATTACTTTACAGGGCTCTTTTTGTAGAAAAAGCCCAGCAGGAACTCATTAGCATAAAAGGCCACACCCAACAGCAGGAACTCATTAGCATATTGGGCCACACCCCTGACAGCATAGCTCATTAGCACATTAGGCCACACCCACATGTTACCAGAAGTGTGATTATCCAGCCACACCCACCTTTTGCTTGTTATTCTGTTTACCTTGTTTGTTGTCAAAACCCAGATTAAGTGTTTCCACACCTTCTTTGCGCTTCTTCAAAAACAGTCTCCTGTGCCATATAGCTTTGAAAATCTTTATAAGTAACTTCCAGTATGGCACAGGGGGCTGCTCTTGAAAATCTCACTGAGCATTCCAAAGCTTTGGGACTCAGCCAATATTTTGTATTAATTGTAATGAAGGCACAATCTTTCAGAGACTGTGTAATGCAAAACAACAAAAAAAGACCATGTAATGCAAAAAAGTTTTAGAAAAGCCTTTAACTTTTGCTTCTGATCAGAGTTTACAGAAATAGTAGCTGGTAATTAGCAGGTCACAAATGAACATCTTGAATACTGTAGTGACAATATTTTGGGTATAAGAGTACATTAATCATGTTGGCTGAGTTTGCCTGTGCTGGAGATCAGAGGCTTCCATGCTTATTCTCTTTAGTAACCAGACACCTGTTCGAGGAGCAAAGGATAAAGCAAAGCAATAGGCTCTTCTCTAGACACTTGACTAGGCGCATGCATTGGAAGGAAAAGGTCAAAGACAGTGGCGTGGTCTTTCTCACAGTGGGGCTTCAGTTGAAAGTCTAATCCAGAGACTTTTTTCTTTCATGTCTAATCCCGTTAGGATATTCAAGTTTCACTGCAAGCTGATACCACGATGAAGGTTACAATACAAAGAAAGAGCCAGGGATGTTGTTTCCAGTCTGCCAACAATTCTTATGCATTTGAGTAATCCTGGATTAAGTTCAAGGCTATTCAGTAAAGGAGTGTGTAGCTCTAAAGCCTTGCAGCCCCTCTGAGTCCCAAATTATTGTTGTTTTCTCTCTCTTTCTCTTTTTATGGTGCCCATAATATCCTCATTAAAACCAAATTAGTCAAGGGATAAACTGTTGAGCCATGATGGCATGTTAAGAGGCTTGGGTTTCCTTTAGACTATTTTGCTGTACTGCATTTCCTGCAAATTAAGAGGTTGTAGGCTTTATATTTATTCTGTTTGAGACTGAAAGGGCTGCATTTAAAATGTGCCTTCCTGACTCAGAATTGGAAGGAAGTACAATTGCAACGACAACTTAGGTCCAATATCTCTAGCATTTCAAATAATTCTGTAAAAGTTGAATACAGGACAAGCAAAATGTGACAATATATGGGAGGGATTCATGTTAACGATCATGTTGTTATCTTCGTCACATATTTGGAAATGAGAATGTTTCATTTGTTCTCAGTGCATGATGAACAGATCCTGAATAATATGGCCACTTGGGAAAGTAATGATTGTCTAGCATAAAGAAAGTCTGTGTCCAGTGGCGCCTTTAAGACCAACAAAGTTTTATTCAAGGTGTAAGCTTTTGTGTGCATGCACACTTCATCAGACGATGAAATCTCCATCAGACGATGAAATCTCCATCATACTGTATTCGTGCAAGGTGTTTCATTTTTTACTTCACTACATGAAGGAGTCTCAGAGCAGCTTACAAACTCCTTTCCCTTCCCCTCCCCACAACAGCCACCCTGTGAGGTAGGTGGGGCTGAGAGAGCTCTGACAGAAACTGCTCTTTTTCAAGAACAGCTGTGCCAGAATTATGGCTTGCCCAAGGTCATCCAGCCAGGTGCAAGTGGAGGAGTGGGGAATCAAACCCAGTTCTCCCAGATTAGAGTCCACGCACTTAACCACTACACCAAAATGGTTCTTAAGATGTTAAATGCCTTTGCTGTGATGGAATCTCATTCTGTTATGACACTCAGAAATTAGGAACAATAGTGAAACAAAGGGATCATGGAGAGATGGGATACTCCTTGTGCCTTGCATAAGGCCAGTTTGCTCAGAAGCCTTTCTAAATTGTAAAAAGGTAAAGGTAAAGGTTCCCTTGCTCGAAAGCCAGTCGAATCCGACTCTAGGGTTGCAGTGCTCATCTCCGTTTCAAAGCCGAAGAGCCAGCACTGTCCAAAGACGTTTCCGTGGTCATGTGGCCGGCATGACTAAACACCAAGGCGCACGGAACGCTGTTACCTTCCCACCGAAGTGGTACCTATTTATCTACTTGCAATTTCTTGCTTTCCCCTCCATCAAATAAATCTGTTTATGTCATATATGTATATATAGAATTTATAGATGGACATATGGATTTATTATAGATAATTTATATTATAGGATATATTAGATTTATTATGGAATAGATAATTCAGTCTGTTCTAGGTCAAACAGCCAGAGTCATACAGTATCTCAGCTCTGGACAGAGAGCATCTTGGTTTGTAGAACAGTACAACTTGCTTCTTATGTTTATGGAAGGACAGGGAGACCTAAGAAACAATCAATTCGAAATATCCCAGGACATATTTCCCTTTCTCTGTTCATTCATTCACTGAAATGTTTATAAAAATGGTCAGCTTTATTTGCAAGGTAGATTGACTAGTGCATTATTATCATTTTTGCTATATCATATTCCAGCACTTCCGACTATGTATTTGAGAACGTAGTGTTTGGTTTTTTTAATTGCTCACAAATAAATGAAATAGCATCACTACAGTCTTCTCTTTAATAACCAACAACCTGAGGATTGCTTAATTCTAAGTGCCAACGCCACTTAGTTAATTTTAAGTTCCTTTAAAGCCCCTTTTTGTGTAGCTTTTAGCCTTTCCGCATCCATTCTTCTTATAGGGTGAGATGCATGTAATGAGCTATGATCTCATTCTTCATTATGTGGAGTCCTAATCATGCTGGGATAGTTGGTTGCATTCAGAACCTTGCATCCAATAACTGCCATTTCCCGTGAGTACTTCCTAATCTTCTTGGCTGCTTCTTTTTGTGCTTGCACTAAAAGAGTCCTAATGACTCCTATAAAAATAAAATCAAACTAATTAAAAAATTGTTTCGTTGCCCATACTCAAAACATGACCCAGGCTTCCAGGTTGCTTTTTAAATTCTCCCCGCTATGTTTAACTGGAAAGTTAGCATGCTGTACATGCATTTGCTTTTACTTAATATTCCACTTTTCTCCTCAGTTGGAACTCAAAGCAGCTTAGAATATCACTCTTCCCTCTGCAGATTTTCTTACAAAACAACCCTGTGAGGTAGTCCAGGCTGAGAGCATGTATTGGCCCAAGGTCACCAGCAAGCTTCCATGATAGAAGTAGGGTTCGAACCCAAGTTTCCCAGGGTCCCAGTCCAACACTCCTTCTGGTATACCATGCCAGATCTTGTGCAGTATGCTCTCTGTGCTGGAACAACAGGGCATTATACAAAGTATAAAACTACCCCCACCATAAAATTAGTATAGTGCTGGCTGGAAAATGCAATATGAAAACAAATAAATGAGAACAGGCTGGAAAATGGTAGAGGGAAATATTAATCCAGATATTACTAAGGCAGACTGTGGGAAGCTCATTAGCAAGACATGTAGTGCAATCCTAAACAGCTACGTCCTTTTCAGTCCATTGAAGTCAATAGGCTTAGAAGGTTGCAACCCTGCTTTATATTGCACCAATGGAGCAGTCCTTGGAATAGACTATTGGCTGAAGCATGGACAGTACAATAGTTCTGGAAACAAATCAAAAGAAAGCAAGATGGCCTCCATATTACCCATATACTCATTCTTTTATAAACAGTAGCATAAACAGAGCAAAACGATTTATTTCGGATAAGTGAATGAAAAATCCAGATTTAATTAGAATGAGAAAAATCCAGAATTAATTAGAATGAGGAAAAATTCCACATTGCACAGTTTTTATGGCCTCTATATGCATTGCAAGTTATTAATAACTTTTCTGGGCACAATGCTAAAAGACAAGATAACTAGCAACAAAATGTGAGGTTGGAGATTTGGACTACTGGTGTTCAGCATAACTGGGGTTTTTTTTAGTTTTTATTTAACACTTTAAGAAGCAAGTAGCAAGAAACAAATCTGATAGTT